ACACTTGCAAAGGAGACACACCCACACCTGAGAAGAACCAAATGGAAACGAGATCAGAGTTGTACTCAACAGTGGAGAAGTGGCTTTAGTGACCTTGCACAGACGATCCCAGCCAGTTCTCTGAATGCACAAAAAGGCCGATAGACGTCAGGTCATCTTTCCTCTGCGACCCAGGTCGAGTTCCACAGGCAGCTTTGATTTCTTGACACACAAACCCACACAGACGGCAGAGGTCAGCACGAGGGCTGTGTGGGAAGCCTGGGGTAGTAAACCAACACTGGCGCTGCAAAAGGCCATTCCTCTCTTTCCAGTCCACTGAATGAGTTAGAAAGCTGCCAGCGTGATTTGTGGCGTGATTATTGCTCTCTATATCACTTGAGATTAGAGCAGGTGGCGGCCCACAGCCTGGAAGCACACATGGCTTTATCACCAGTCCTCCTCTCAGGAAACACAGAGAGAAAAACAAGCCCTCAGCTCCCTCCCACACAGAGGTAATACGCTCGCAGGCAATTTTGCTGCCAGCAGAGCTCTCTATGACAATCCAGGGAGCTCTTCAGCTCTGATATCTGCCACAAAAGTTCACCTCCGCTTCTCTCGTTCCACTATTTTTTTAAACAATGCCATCAGCGCTGCAAATTACACCTTCCACACGGCACATTATTCTCTCCCCTGGTGACAGACATACTCAAGCCTGACACACTTCACTAGTGGCGCTCTTCACACAGGCGCGAGCCCCGGGTCTCTCTGTAGCACCGCTTCATTTTCACATTAACTCCAGTAAAGCATGGTGGAATCAGCCTGGTGCTAAGGGGGGAAACTGAGAATCACTACAGTGTGCACTTCAGTTCACCCCCACACTGAACTCTGTCTCACATCACAGACGCAGCTGCAGGAGGCATCTCACGAGGGACGTGATTCTACAATTTATCTACCAGACGAGTCCTTAAAAGAAAAAAATACAAGAGCTTCCACAGATTTATAAAAATAGTACCGTTCAGTCGAATATGTGCGCCAGCTTTTTTCGTTTTCTAATTAAAGACGCTTTAACAATAAAGCTTTAAGTACCGTATTGTTCACCCTATAAGTCGCGTTTTTTTGCATAATTTGCATGCCCTGTGACTTATTTATGTTTGTTCCTCATATTTATAAACCAATTTTTGGCTGAGATTTGACCGTTTTCATTCATTCTGACTGAAAATATTGAACACTACCATTTTCAGCCGCTAGATGGCACTCATATTTGGCATACCGTTGTATCGTGTAATAGGTAAAAGTGGCTATTAATGACACAATCGGTTTGCCATAGCCTGCCACCGTCATCTGCCTGGAGAAACAGTCAAATCAGCTTCATTTCGCTGCGCCGCCCCGATGAAATGCAGCTGATTTGAGCATTAAAGTGCATTTATAAAGTAAAAGTTCAACTGAGACACACCTTTACTATAACGTCGAGCAAACAAATAACTGTTTTTAGGTGGTTATCTTGCTAAATTCTTGTTAAAGTCCTCCTGTGCACGCTCATGTGGCCGCCACTTGGCAGCCAATCAATTTTTGCCACAACACATTTCCGGGTTGTCAGCGGCGACGCATAATAGATGCAACGTATCCGGCGAAGCGACATATTTATGGATTTTTCCACTTTATTAGACATATTTGGACTGATGCGACTTATAGGGCGGAGTGACGTGTATGGCGGTAAATACGGTACTTAACAGGCGACTAATCTTCTGTTTCTAATATTTGATGTTGTACTCCTGCAGATTTTTAAACAATGCCCCCAGGTGGAAACAATGAGCGGCAGCTCTATATCTCAGACAAGCTTCACAGTAGAAACAGCATTAATCATTTCAAAAGGTGAACTTTACATGACTGGCATGGCGTTTTGACATTCTCAACAGTTTATACTCAATTGCAGCTTACGTTAAGATTTTATGAGATTTTACCACCAATTGTTGAACGTCAAGAGTTTTATAAGGTCGCACGCTAACATCAGCGTTGCCTTTAAAGAGTTTATTTCTACTTTCAAATGTTGCCTTTGGCGCAATTGGCTGCTTTCTTTAGATATATAACTATTTACTCAATGGTCATTTATAATAATCAAATTCTGACAGTAATAAATTATAATTAGATTAAACTGTTTGTAATTAAATTGGATTCATAATTTGAACTTACTACTTCTCTGTATTGTGCCTCACTGTTGGTGCTGTATAAATAAACTGAATTCAACTTTTCAAACGTATTTGCAAACTTAATTCCACAATTTCCACACGTCATATAATTTACTCGTCATTTTTTCATCCAGCTGTGGTTTCTGCTTCCTGCTCTGCTGTTCTCTGCCTGCCTCGTGGAGCTTGCTGTCAGGGAGCGAGAAACATCGGTGTGTGGTTACCATGGAGACTTTAATGAGCCTCTGGCGGCAGCGTTGACGCGTTTTCTATCATAGCTCACTTCTTCTTCAGTTCAGCTGAGACGTTCCTAAAAGGAAGTCTTAAATTATCATTGAGCTTTAAAAACAAGTAGATGGATGCTTGATTTACAGGATTAGCGCTCTTCAACATTAATTCACCCCCACAGTTTTAATTTTAACGTCTTTACGCTCCAAATAAGGTGCGCTGCTGATGAGGAAATGTTCACGACGATGATTTTAAACAGTATTATTGGAATCTGCTCTGAGCAGCGTGAGCTCAGTCACTGCTCCTTACTGAATGTAGCGACAGGCGTGGACCGACAAACTCCTGAAGGATGAGAATATGAGCAAGGATGAAATATTGCAGCGCTTTACAGCTTTAATGATTAGGTAGAGCAGTCACTGCGGCTCTGTCTGTTTCTGTACAGTCTGCTCCCTGGACAGCAGTTACACGGCTCGGTTCTGATTTCTACCCACGGCAGCTCAGGAGCAACAAGCACTGTTGTTTATTTCACAAGTGGCCGAGAGGCAGGCTCCATGTTTCTGCTCTGAGGCCGAGCAAATGAAGCCGGTTAGCTCGCCGACACCTGCAGGAGAACTGACTGCCGTAGTAATTAGAGATAACATTTAATGACTCTCAGCTAATGAAATCCATTCCTGCACAAAGTGAACCCGGAGAGAGAAACAGAGTGGCAGTCAAAGGCCGGGGGGACTTTAAGCCCCGCGTTTTAAATCTGAGGCGAAGAAATAAAAAAGAGCCGAACTTTCTTTAAGAAATTATAGCACACAAGAAATACCTCATGAACAAACAAACAGTGCTTTTAGTGGGTACGAGAGAAGACTGAAAGATTAAAAGTAGGGCTTCAAAAAGACGCCCCGAGTCTGGTTTTAGTTTCACTCCATCAGGAGAAAAAAGAAGCTTTGACCAAAGCTGCGGCTGCTGAAACACAAATCAACTAAAACACCTAACCTGTGGAGATTATTATTAATTTTAACCAATTGTTCACAGAATTACCATTAAAAAGATCCATATTTCTGGTGTACGGTTTGATAAATGTGTTAAAAATAAACTATTTAACCTAAATCTTACAGTAGAACAGAAATATTATTATTATTGCAGAATTAGTTGTTTATTTTTTTTATTTAACTTGTTCTAGAACATCTGGGTAAAACCATCTATGAATAATACCCTACTCTTCACTAAACAGCTGTGTACAATGATCATATTATATATTTATTTATATATTCTTTTATGCTGTTTAAATGCAGTTTTTCCTGATGTGTCTGACATTATTTTCTCAAGCTAAACCCAAATAAGAATTTTATTTTTGTACAAATAATTTGAAGCTCTCACCAACAAACAGACTTTTCACATCTGCCTCGGGGCAAATATTGACACCGACACCCCCCCACAAACAAATCCTCTCTTGCTGTTTTTGTTGGAGCGGTTGCTTATCCTAAGTTTTGGTTGCATTAGAGCACTGCTAATCCCCTCCAACAAAAACTGACCCGACTCCTTTAATCTCAACACCACCCTCTATAAAAATACCAGAGCCCTTTACTCGCCGTGCACCTGGATTCTTTTACTCGCCTCTTGCAACGGGCAACAAGCGTCATTAGCATATGGCAGGAGGAGGGGATGGAGATGGTCAGAAAGGAAGAAAAGACGAGATATTTAAATGGAAATAGGGGCCAAGAGAGAGGTCCATCATGAGGCAGAGAGAAAGCATATTTGTGCACTGTTTCCCGACTCGGGTCCTTTCAGCGAGGGGGAGAGAGGGTGGCCCTCTGTTGATTTAGGCTGCACAAAGGAGGCCCTAATCCTTTCAAAGAATCCAAATCAGTCCACAGTGGGGGCACGTTCAAAAGGAAACCTCCCTGTCAAGCATGGCCATTGAGCTGCCCAGTGCACGCCACAAATCAAGCCCCGCGGGGAATCAAAGGCCACAAAGTGGGAAATGTGCACGGAGGTCTGCACCGAGGGAGAGTGTAGGGAAATGAGGAGCAGTGATGGGGGTTGGTGGGAAGGGCCTATCATCAGCAAACTGCCCCAATTCAGCCACAGCAATGAGCGGGTCACAACCCTCGTCTCTGAGTCTCCCCTCCTGGAAACTCTCCCCCATTACAGAGGAATGCCCATTCACACAGGGCACCTCCATTATCCCCACGCCAGAGAAAATAGGGCTGCCTTTAACAGCAAATTAGTGACTTGATAATGAGGTCACATGTGGCGTTGGCACATGGAGGCCATAAACAGACGCCTCATTTCATCCGCCTGCAGCATCACCACATCCTCCTCCTTCCTGCTCTGGTGCAGCTCAGCACGTCTGCGGCAAAAAGTCACGACCGCTGCACGATTCTTCACAACACGTGCAGCCACAGCAGTGAAACAGCCCCCGTTAGATTAAGACCAGGATCAGCTTTTATGTGTTAAACTGCTGAGCAAGCATCTCATCTCTGTTGAACTCATGTGACCACAAGAGAGATGTCTTATTTAAAATGACAATACGCGAAGAAGGAACATGAAGGAGTGCCAGACGGCCGGGGTTACACCTGCAGCATCACACTAATAATAATAACAGGAGAAAAACTGTACCTTTAATTGCAGCTGTGCTGAAAAATTTCTCTGAACTGGCATCGGAAACCTGGAAAAGAGGAGAGTAAAAATATTTCAAATCACATCCAAACGGTTTAAAAATCACATTTAACCATACGTCTGCAAATGAGTGCAGCAGGGTGATAGAAGTAATCGCATTTACTCGTGCCACAAATAATTAGAACAACTCAGTAATTATTTACAGCTTTTTATTTAAAGTGAAATGATCTCCATGTGATATTTAAATATATATATTTTTTATTCTTAATCACTTTCAGGATCCCCTAAAATCAGCCTGCTGTTCCCCTGCTGGCCACTTGATGGCACTGTTGCTCCGTGACACAGCAGACCTGTTTGTGGAGCGTCAGCGTGTTGGATTAAAAAAAAAAAAAAAGTGCAGTGATGGGATTTAAAGCTGAATTAGACAACAAAAGCCTCGTGGAGTTTAAGATCCGAATTCACTGATTAACTGAGTTTAAACAACGACACAGAAGGAAGAAAAGTAGGTTTCCATATTTACAGATGGTGGAATCATCACCTCGGAGGAAAACAGCTTTCTCTGAATACATTTGAAAATCCTTCTGAGGCGTCTTTAGCTCCGGAAATAAAGCTAAAATGTGAAGTCAGAGGAGCTGAAGTGGACGTGAAGGTGATGGTTTCTTTGTGCCAGCTCTGAGCGCATCATGATCATGCCCTCCCGACGGAGACTATTGTTTCAGATCCTAAAGGAAAAACGAATAAACTCTGTCTTTTTTCATTTCAAACTTAAATAATTTCTGTTATTGGTGCAACCCGCACAGGATGCAAACACAAGCTGCAGAAAAGATGCCAACAGGACTGAGGGGTTAGGTTTCGACTTTAGTCAGACCATTTTACAAAACAAATCATGAAACCAAAAAAATAAAAATGTAAAAAAGCAGCTGTAAGGCGGCGGTGTGCATACCTTGCATTTGGGTAACGAGAATAATAAAGTCAGCTGTTACTTTCACATTTTTCTGTTCAAATCCTGTAATCCACACAAGACGCGGGGCAGTCTACTCCCGTGGCACGGAGCGCAGCCATGCAGAGGCACAAGGAAGCTTTCCAAGAACTACAATCCAGACGCGTGCACGGACACTGCGCCCTGCGGACAAAAGGAGCGCGCCAGGCTGAAAAATCCGCTTTCTCTCCCTGCTCAGGACGCAGCCTTGTTTTGGTCACGTAAATATTCTCCTGTAGGAAGTATCCACGGGATGCGACGAGCAGGATCCGGGAGGGTTCGTGCGTCCGTGCGCGGCAGGAGGAGCAGAACAAACCAATCCAACAAAGCGCACGGCCAGTGTTCCTCTGTGGAGACGCGAGACGAACACGTCTTCCCCCTCCGCCCTTCGATGTGTTGTCTTCAAAACGGCTCCGGATCAGGGGCGCGCAGGAGCCGCTGCACAGCCGCGTCCAAACCCTGACAAACTCCCATTCATTCAGAGACCGACGGAGACCCGCTGCTGCTGGGGTCCTCCCACTTCCTGATCCGAACCGACCTCAGCTGCGCTCCTCCACCGAGTAAACACGCGCGTGGTGCGAGGGAGGGCTTCCGAAAAGCTTGGCACAAGGTCGCAGGGACGCGGTTACCTTTTGCGTAAATGGTGCGCAAAAGGAGAGACAGCCGCGCTCCAAAGATACATAAGGAGGCGAGAGGGGGAGAGAAGGAGAGGGGGAGGGAGGAGAGAGTGAGAGTGAGAGAGAGAGAGATTCTTTTACTCCACAGTGAGATGATGTCAGCCGTTAATGAATTCCCCAGCAGGGTGCTGCTACTGTGAGAGGAGCAAAAACAAAACTCTTCTTATGAGCAACATGCACCTCCTCGCTGCCTCCCAGCTGTAGGCTCCGTCTGGGGTGGGGTGGGGGTTGGGGGGGGGGGGGGTCAACAAGGATAAGACATTTTGGGCCTCCACCTGGCAGAACCAAATCAGGACCAGCCTCCTCAGACTCCCCAGTTACATAGCCTGCAAATCAACAATTACAAAACATCTTTACAACCCCCCTGGAGGTTTAACTTTTCTAAGAGAGCCACTCCCCTACTGGTTGTTTCCCAGTTCCTAAAGGACGCACAGAGTCAGGTGTCACACTATCCTGCAGAGATTCACCCAAAGTGTATAAATTAAACTTAACTGTGGAGGATGCAGAAAAATCTTCGAACAGTGCCAGACTTTGTACCCTATAGCTTATCTAATGAGCATTACCAAGAGGTGAAGAGTTGAGGGTCAGCACGAGTACAATAGAGACACTACAGAGGACTTTCACTGCCAGCGCTGCCTAAACAGTCACGAAGCAGAAAACAGACTCATAGCGCAGATGCTAATCTGTCCCTCAGTAACAGACGGAGAATCCGATGGCTGGCTGGGATCAGTCGTAGAAACATGAGGTCATGGGAAATGGGACATTACAGTGGTCAGCATTTCACAATGGCCTGACAAATCCTCACTCTGAGTCCGCTGCAACTCTTCTCTCCAAACTACAACAAGGCTTTTAGTCTCTCAACTAAAATATCGCTCGAGATCGTATTTTAAATATTGACCAACTAGTGGAGCTCATAGCATTGGTAAACTCTTTTGTAAAACTCCAGGACAGATTTTATTGACATTTTCAGGCAGTAATCTCTTGGAGTTACACCCGCAACTGATTGCGATTGTTTTGGAGTCAATCCAATTCAAATAATACCAAAATGGCTACAACTAGGCCAGTTTTACAGATACTGAGATGGAACTTTATGTGGTAGTGGCTGAGAGTGATTCGTACTACAGACTTGGAGCTCGGTCACATCTTGTAAGAACGTGAATGAAGTCATTCATCATTCCAGGGATCTCTCGTAAATGAGTCTCAATGGGATTAACCTGTCTAAATAAAGGTTGCGCGAATTTACGAGGTTTGAACAAGGAAGGTGCGAGGAACTAAAATAGGAAATGAATTCAATCCATTTGTATGGAAGTTTGGTCACAAATGGTCACGAAGAAAAACCCCAGCTCCCCCGTTCGTCCTGTTAGAGACGCCTTCACATGAGTCTTGTGCACCAAAGAGATTCAGTGAATGAAAAAATAAACCTCTGGCTTGCTGTTGCACGTATGTGGTGAAAACATCTTGTATAACTGCAGTGATGTGACTTCATGTTACCACCAGTGATCCAGATGTGTGGAGCAGAAGTGCCATGAATCACACTTCAAAGCAGCAAATGTTCTCACAGTAGTTACATGTAGTTAGTTCACATGGAAGAGGGGATTAAAGATGGTGTACCTAGAGCTTACATTCAAAGCCAGCTTTAATATATATATATAATATATTTTTATGACTGTCATGGAAAAAACAAATGGCTACTAGTCTTTCTCGGGGGGTCTGAGCAGCAGCAGTGAACAAGCTGCTGTTCTCCATTTTATACGGCCGTTATTAGATTTGAGAACGATCACAAGTCTGAGATTTTGGCCACGCTAACAAACAACGGTGCCCAGATCTCACGCTGAGCATTATTTTTAATTCAGATGAAAAGCCGGCAAAACGAAGCACACACGCTAAAATGAGAATGCTGCAGTTTCACATGGGGGAAAAAAATAAAAACCCTGCGTGTGCAACAGAATGAAGCAACAAGATCAAACACAACGTCTGGATTTGTGCAGCGTATCTCCATAATTGCTGTCTGGGCATGCAAGTTCTATCTATAGAGCATCAGCTTCACACTGGCATTTTGTCATCTTTTATTCTCTTTTTTTGGACGCTGATTCTCCGCTTCAAAGAAAGCAGATTCATGTTTCTGCCCCTACCCCCCACAACCACGGTTTAATTTTACAGGAACTCTCTGAGATTACCATCACAGGGGACCTGTTTGCCTTTATGAGCTTTCCTGCCATGATGACAAATCTACTCCTCAATTAAAACATTAGTGATAAGTGTAACATAAGTACTGGCAACATGATATGTTAAAAGGGTTTTTGTGCATTTACCCATTGAATCTAAACTCTATCTTTGCTTTACACGGCCTCAGATAATGGACTGCATGGATTAAAGCAGAGATGCTCTGATTGGGGAGGAGCAGTAATCTCATGTGAGTGGTACCTGAAAAACAGCTTCCGCTCACAATGACAGGTGAGGAAGACATCTATGAAACCAACAAATCATTACAGGATGATTATGATACAAGTTACTTCATAACTTGTTTTTTAGAAGTACCCCTGAGAACAATAAAATAAAAGAAGTAAAATCAGGTTTATTTTGTGCAGTCTCATTTACATTGGACGGTGACCCCTCTACTACATAAAAATAATAATTCAGTGAAGATGTTGATGGCTTGGCGAGATCTTTGTATCAATAATGCAGTGTACCCCCAATTAAGTGTGGTACGCTGTGATAGATTGGGGAGGGTTTTGAGCATGTACACAACTTCCTTGTGGTGGTTTGTCATTGTGGTGTCGGAGCCTATTTATGACGTGGGGACCTCTCACACTGGTGTGTGACTTGTTCACTGAGATCAGTGTTGCCAGATTGGGCGGTTGTCATTCAGATTTTGTGGGTAAAAATTGCTTTTGGGCAGGTGGGGATAATTTGAGCAGATTTGGAGTCAGATCGGCAGTTTTTGAGTTAACTTATTAAACACATTTCAAACAATCATTTATCATTATTGGTTCAAAGCTCCCCTGACCTTTCTCCATCACTGATTGGCATCACATTGTCATCTCTGCCAGGGCGTTCACAACAGAGAACTGGTGAGGCAGTTTTAGTGGCCGCCTCGTTGAGTGGGGGGACCCGTTGCGGTACGTCGGAGCGGCCGCCATATTGGATGTGGCAGAACTAATAAAGGAAATGCACTGAACTTTATAAAGCACCGTTCTACAAAGTGTTTTATGCTAATGCCTGCCATTCACACTTACTAATATATTTGGAAAACAAACAGGCACCAAAGACAACATTTACAACTTTTAAAGTGATTATTAAAAAGGTTTACTCCTAAGATATTTAGGTTAAAGGTAAGCAGTAAGCCAACATGCGTATTCTTTTGAGTGTTTACAACTACTGATGTGTGTAACA